GGTCTCAGTTAGAAGGCCTGGGCAGTCTAAGGGACCTCTGACAGTGGAACCAGGAATGTATCCCTGGTGCACAAAAGGGCTTTGGGAGCACATTCCCCATGGAGGGATACTCCCTTAGCCTAGAGGCAGGAGGGAGGGCCTAGACCCTAATCCAAATGACTTGACAGATTTTGTTGACCCCCTCCTGGAAGGCACTACCCTCCCTGTGGAGTTGGGGGGGGGGTGAATGGGTTAGGGTGGTCAGGGGGCATGAGAGAGAAGGAAGGAGGGAGAGGGAACTGTGGTTGATAAGAAAAATAAGTAATTTTTTTAAAAATGTGGTTTAAGCCTGAAGTTTATGAGATTTTGTTATAGTAGCAATAGAAATAGTAGCAATGGATGGTGGTCAGACACTGGCTTCCTATGCAAGATGGTGTATGTATTAGTGGGAAAAATTCAAGATATGGGCATCTGTGTCAGGGAAGCTGGGGAGGTGAAGGTAAACACATCAGTGCTGAAGGTGAATCCATCCCAGTCTTTCTGATCTATTGTCTCATTTCTTGTATTAACTGGAGAGGACCACATTTTATGCTCCAGGCCTGCAGAGGTAGGGCAGTAGACAATGTAAACAAACTTTCCCAAAGTCAGCCTCTCTGAATTTTCCTTGTAAGTCCCTCCATATTCTTGGAAACTAACAGAGCACCCACTCTCCAGGTTTAGTCCCTGATGGGGAAGACTGCAGACTTCCTGACATGCTACCAAGATTGTTTCAGGTGGCGAAGATGGGAGTCTATCATATGTGTGTGTGCTCATCTTCCTCATAGATTCCAACAAACTTGGTGTATGTTGCTTGCTTGCTTTCTTGAAACCAGAAGGAAAAGCCATGACCACCTACAAGGAAATACCAGACATGAGAGTATTACTAGTGTGAACAATAATACCCAGTTCATACACACACACACACACACACACACACACACCTTTATAGACTACCTGTCTTTCTTTTAATCACTATGATTCCACAAAGTATATATATAAGAATTGAAAATCCAGAAGTCAAAAAGCTCATCCCTCATGATACAAGTGGTAACCCAGTTCAGTCTTACTGCAGAGTCCATATCCGGTGTATGCTACACAACCCACTGCCTCGTGTTCACACTACTTCCAGCCACTAGGAACCTCCAGATCCCAGAGCACCCCTCACACAGAGCTGGACAGAAAGTCACCTATGGTAATAAAACAACAATCCAGAAATCAATCACATTTTTTCAGCCCTGACTTCCTGCTAATATTGCCCCCTGAGAGGCATCCCTTCCTTAGGCTTCCAGACAAATGTACCCATTTCATCCTGGGTACTCTTCCCTCTCTCCCCCCTATTTCTCTCAAATCTCATTTGCCGTAAGAGATAGAGGAAAGTATAACATGATGGGTATTCATCTTGGCACAGGCAAGACCCAGAACAAACATGTATACCAATGAAAGGAAGTCATTTCCTGCAGCAAAAAAAAAACTAGCAAGTTATTTATAACATAGTGATCTCCTTGAGTAGCAGCAGCATAGGATTTTATTCAGGGAACTTATATGTATTTTATAGGTGTTGACCCATTCCTGAGTATGCTCAGTTTCAGTTCCTAATTTAAGAAGGAACAGTAGTAGATGTATTTTGGGCATACTTAGCTCATGTGTTTAAAAGATTGAAACTGTTTACAGAAAAGGCCACTAGGCATTCTTACTATCATTAAGCTTTAGCAGAAAAGCAAGGAAAGGGCACTGCCAGTTTGTCCACTAAGGCACCCGCCTCACTTAGCAGCTAACAGAAAGTGGAGAGAAGGATGAGATGCCATAGAGGAACTAGGCTAGGGAGGGTAAAGGGTAAGAATCCAGAGTTCTAGATGACATGCATAGCACTGTGTACCTAGAAAGTATGGAAGCTGCAGCTCAGTTATTAGCTCAGAGTCAAGATAGTATCACATCCCAAGCAGTATGCCTCCTGACTCTTTTACTGTTCTTCCATCCAACTCTTGTATGGGCTACCCAGGTACATCTTACTAGAAGAAGTAGAGGTGAGCCAAAGAGGAAAATGAAAAGGAAGGAAACCGAGATGATCGATAGATTAATTGTCCAATTCAGTTACTTTCCCTTGGCTCTCTTGGCTTTACTATGTGCCCTGAAGTTCCCTTTCTGTTATCAACCTTTACCAGTGTTTTCTTCCTGAGGCAGGAAGGCGGTGTTGTGGCTTAGCTATGAAGTGCCTCCCCACCACCAAAGTCTCAAGATTTGGTCTCCAGCTGGTATATTCAATCACTGAGAAGTGAATGGAGGAGCATGTAGACTCTGACATAATCAATGAATCAGACCATTGGCAGATTCATAATTTGATGGCATTACTGAGAAGTAGAAACTTTCGAAGGTGGGTCCTAGTTAGACAAAGTAGGGCCCTGGTGTCATGCACTCTTCTTCTGTCTTTTCTGCTTTCCCAACTGCTCTATTCCACCAAATTCATCCACCATGATGTTCTGTCTTGTCACAGGAACCAGATGGCTGCAGGTTGTGACCTCTGACACCATGAACCAATATCCTCCTTTGGTATCTCAGGTATTTGGCAACAGCAAGGAAAAGTATGGCTACCAAGGTTTCAATTTAGTCATTAATTCAACAAACATGTTGAACACCAACTGCACACTGGACTGGTGATTCAGAGATCAACAGGGAAGATGTTCTTATCATACTATTATAGGAGCCAAGTCTTATGCAGTGGGCTCCATGAGGCCCTTCCAAAGCAGTGTTTGGAAGATGCTGAAATGCCCTGAGCTACTATGAGGTTCAGGTTTGGAAACAGATTGGTAATGTTGCTTTACAACTCCAACTCCCAAATATATCCTTATCTCTAAAGTCATGAGTCACCATGCAAGAAAGAATGAATGCTTCACCTTGTATGGTCAATTCTCATCAACATGGCATGGTTGCCTGGGTCATATGCTGAGAAGAATCATAAAACTCCACGTGCTCTCCACAGGAGCTAAGCTAAACTGGCAATTTTTGTCAGTTTAAGAGAAGGGAGAAGATGAGAGTACTACACACTTCTGTCTCAGTGTTTATGTTGAAAATTTTTCATTTTCACCATTGCTTTATGACTATTCACTTCTCAGTGTTGCCTTAAGTTCTAGGAATGGCAGCATTACCTGAAGGACAGAGGGAGGGCTGGAGGCTGAACTCTTCTGAAAGAAGGTCTGGTGGGACACAGAGAGCACAAAGTGCCACTCAGGGAAGTGCCATGCCCTCCCACAGACTGAGCCTGGATGTGTCCCAGTTTATTCTGGTTTTTCACACTAGTTGTTCTCTCTGAAGTCTTTGTAAATTTGGAATGAATGTTTGCAAATGATCTCAGTCCTAGGAAAAGAGAAATTTGGTGCCTGCAAGCCACTGGTCACATTTTCATCAGTAGCCAATACATAATCTCATCCCATTCATTTAAAAATATTAAACTGTAACTCTGCACCAGTAATATCAATGCTCAGGGCTAAGACAGGAAAATCACAAATTTAGGGCCAACCTGGGCTATATAGCAAGATCCTGTCTTCCAGAGAAAAGGAGGGAGTGTGGGTATGTTTGACTCAGCAATGAGCTTGAGACCCAAAGCATATAAAATGTGACTGAATGATGCTTATGTGATACATGCTATTTTCTCTGTAAGGCACAGACAGCCTTCTTGTGCTTAAGAACAGAACATGGCACATTAGCATCACAATTAGGACCATTTTAAAACGTGAAACCACCACCAAAAAAGCACAGAAATGGGAGAACCGGCAGGAAGCAGGCTGCAAAAAGAATCTCGTTTACTTGCAAGAGCAGCAACAAAGCAAGAAGCCATCGCTTTGCTCTAGTTCTGCTGCACATTGAACAACAACTTTTGTTTAACTCTCTTCACGTGTCTGTGAAGATCCACAAAAGGATTGATTTGGGCTGACAAAGGTCATCAAGTGCACAGATTTGCAGTTATAGAGTTATAAATAAATATAAATAATGAGGATAGGTTAACAAAAAACCTTGGTGGGCCTCGGTTATGGTACTCCCACATCCTACAGGTGAGGTAGAAAAGTACATAACATGTCTCTGTGATGCCAAGTAACTGTATAGACCAAAAGAAAAGAAGAAGGAGGAGGAGGAAGAAGAAGAGGAGGAGGAGGAGGAGCATTTTCACTTTCTGCACCTCATCTGCCAAGCTCCAAACAAGAGGTAAGTAGACACCAAGAAATTTCCTGCCAAATATATCATCTTTTTCCGTGGAGCACAGACCAAAAACCTACTCCTTCTGGCTCTGGTAGAAAAAGAGGCTATTGCTGAGCACAGTGGTCCATATCTTTACATGTACTCAGAAAGCAGGGGTTGTTGGATCTCTGTGAGTTCAATGCCAGCCTGGTCCACAGAGTGAATTCCAGGGCAGACAGGGCTCCTGCCCCAGGGGAAAAGGAGGTGGTGGCATTTAAATACACACAAGAAGTAACCTTTAGAGAACACCTAAGAGCCAGGGTCACATCCAGGCCATCCTGAGTGGGACTGACACAAAACAGAAGCAGCCCCACCTCTGTGGCTATGTACTCCTGGGCTTGGGAGAGGCTGCTGCTGTGCTTTCTGCCCCTCTCAGCAGACAGGCTTCCTCTGCTTTCTCTGGCTTTGCTGCACCTTCCTAACCTCGGCTCTCATGTGGTTTTGGCTTCCGTGGCACTGATTTCGTCGAGCCAGGCTCTCCTGCACACCTGTCATGTTGCCCTGTCTATCACCGCTCTCATTTCTTGTAGCAGATGAACTCTGGCTCCAGCGTTGGCCTCCAGCCAGCGTTGGTCCCTGGCTCTCTTCTAGGAGTCTGTTCTGACCTGGTTAGTCACTGTAGCTTCTGTCATTGCTGTGTGTACCTTTCTGCTGCCTCATGGCTTTGTTTGCTCAGAGCTCCTGTTTGTTCATGGTTTCTGCTTACTCATGAAGTCTGAATACTGACTGCTTCTTCACTCACATTTTTTTTTATTTGTACTCATTTTTAGTAATGATATACCATTAAAATAAAAGCATACCAATCATTTTAAAAGAAGATTTTACTTTAGCCTGTGTCTGGCTGTGTAAATTACTTTGCTCACATTTTTTCCCTCTTCAGTTCAGATGCTTAAAAGAAAAATCTCTTAAGCACAGTTAATCACAACATATTTGGGTGGAACTTTCTTGCCAGGACACCCTCTAAATTACTGATCCACTGCCCTAGATAAGGGTCTACCACTGTCTCCAAAGGGGTAGAATCGGAAGGGTCAGAGGATGCATGTGGTGTGTGGCCACATATGTTTAAGGATTTCAACAAGCTAATTGCCCAAATACTTCTTTCTTAAAACCATTCTCTCTCTCTCTCTCTCTCTCTCTCTCTCTCTCTCTCTCTCTCTCTCTCTGTCTCTCTCTGGTGTGTGTGTGTGTGTGTGTGTGTGTGTGTGTGGTGTAGGTCATAAAAGTAAAAGGGGGCACTGAGTGGGGTATGAAAACAGAGAGACCAATGGAATACACATATGTGGTAGTTTAAATGTCAACTTGACACACTTTAGAATCACCTGAGCAGAGAGCCTCACTTGAAGAATTATCTTCATTGCCTTAATTGCTCTGGGGAGACCCACACAAAGCATAGGCTGCACCTTCTGGTAGCAGCCCAGATAACAAAGAACACAAGAGAAGAATGATTATTAAGCTGTTAATGGCTTGCCCTTCCCTCTGCTGCTGCTGATTCTGTCGCTGGTGTTAGAAACAGCACTTCCGATTTCTGCCATGGACTGAGGACCAGTGGCTCTCTGAGATCCCTCCAGATTTTTGGCTCCAGATTGGGATTGCTGTTTCTCAGCCTTTCAGGTGCATTGTATAAGATGATGTAATAAATTCTTTAATTTTTCTCTCCCTTTAAAAATACAATGTGAGCCAGGCAGTGGTGGCACATGCCTTTGGTCCCAGCACTAGGGTGGCACAGGCAGGTGAATCTCTGTGAGTTCAAGCCCAGCCTGGTCTACAAAGTGAGTTCCAAGACAGACTCCAAAGCTACACAAAGAAACCCTGTCTCAAACAAAACAAAACAAAACAAAAAAAGGTGATATAGAATAGGAAGAAGGGCATGGTTTGTAAGAGGAAGGGACTAGTCAATGTATCAGGAAGATGGGGACGGGGGATGAATAAATGTAGAATGGCTTATGTCTGTCAGAACACCACAATGAAACCCACCACTTTGTATACTTTGTACTTTAAGATGTATTTTTTTTAAGCCTGAGTTACACAGTGCTATTTTGCTTTACATGTCGCACACACATCACAATCATTCCACTATAACCAATAGTAAATTTAAAGGAGAGTGACTATCAAGAACACTGGCTGCTCTTCCAGAGGACCCAGGTTCAGTTCCCAGCCCCCACATAGCAAGCAGCTCACAGCCATCTGTTACTCCAGTTCCAGGGGATCTGATACTCTCCTCCTGGTCTCTTCAGGAGAATGTGGTACATGGACATGTAGCCAGCCAAAGTACCCATTCACATATAATAATTTTTAAATTTTAAATAAATAAGTCACTTCTTTTTAAAACTGCTTTTCGGTTTTAGAAATGTTAAAATGTATAAAAACATACCTTTCACACTAGGTGACAGATTGATAGGTAGACATAGATATGCAGTGCTGAGGGGACACACTGTAGATATTTTAAATTCACTTTTCTTTTTCATTAATTTATTTTTTACATTCCAATTCCAGTTCCCCCTCCCTTCTCTCCTCCCACTCCCCTCCCTCCCATCTGTTCTATGGAGAGGGTAAAGGCTTCCCCAGGGAAGTCTACTAAGTCTATCTCATCATCTCGTTGGGGCAGGACCAAGGGTCCCCTCCACCCCCACACCCCTGTGTCTAGACTGGGCAAGGTATCTCTCCATGTGGAATGGGCTCCACTAAGTCAGTTTGTGCATTAGTGTTAGCTCTTGGATCCACTGCCAATTAAGGGAGTCTAGTTCGGTCTTATGCAGGGTCCCCATTTGTCAGACCTGAGACAGTGATCTCGGGTCAACTGATTCTGTGGGTTTCTCCATCATGGTCTTGATTCTTTTGGTCATATTATTGATATTCCCTCACTTCGATTGTACCCCAGGAGCTTGGCCCATTGGTTACTTGTGGATATCTGCATCTGCTTCCATCTGTTTCTGGAAGAGGGTTCAAGCTTCTGTGGGGCATACTCAAGGTTTTGAGCATGCTAACCAGCCCCTCTACCATGGAAAGACACTCCCAGTCCAAGGAAATACCTTAAGTATGCAAATTTGTCTGTGTGGTTGTCCATATCCCACAGAAACACATTAGAAGAAAAGATACTAGCTTGAGCCTCCTCAACACCCAGCTCTCTCTCTCTCTTTCCTGTAGTGAACACACACTGTTTATGTAATTGCAAAGTGCACCACACTTTAATACATGGTTTAGAACTCCATCTGTTGATTGCAAATCTGTAACCAAACCTCAAGTAATTTGTCATGCCCTCAATATTATAGAAACCAACAACTCCCAAAGTAACCAGGCAGCTTCAGCTGTTAAAATTTCGAGCTGGTGAAAGCAAAGGCTTGTAGTGCTGTGCCTCTGGGGTTAGAGACTCACATTTAGTTCCTACATGGGTCAGTTAACTTGGCTTATTGACAAAGGGAAATGATAAAGGTACACCACCCACCTGGCTCCCAGAGGCAAGCACTGTTAGACATGTCCACAAAAGACACAAACATGGAAGGAGTAGGCAGTGAAAATCCAGCTCTGCTAAGCATTGCTACTCATATTGCACAATGGCTATCTCAAGTGGTCACCAGGAAACAGATGTTTAAGCCATCACTATAATGTTATCATTAGAAGCCAGAAATAAAAATGTAAAAGGCAGTCCCATTCACAATGAGAACTCCATTAAATATTTTGGGGCCAACCTAGCAAGAACTATTAAGAGAACTCCAAAACCTAATGACACACCAAAGAAACTCAGACTAGCTGGGTTGTAGTTGCTATGCATTGCCTGGGAAGCCTAAGCAAATGATATGACACATCTCATGTTCACTCACATATTTAATGCTGTTATGGTTTGTATATGAAATGTCTCCACAAGCTTTTATGTTCTGAATGTTTATTTCTGAACTGGTGGCACTATCATGGGAGGTTACAGATGCTCCAATAAATATGGCCTAGCTGAAGAAAGTGCATCACAGTAGACTGGGTCCTCAAGAGTACCAAGCCCTGGCTCCTTTCTAGTCCCCTCTACGTCCTTGCTGTCATGATATGAACTACTCTGTTCTATCATGCCCCGGCTAGAATCAACAGAACTGTGAGCTAAGTAAAATAAGTCTTTTCTCTATGGTATATATGTCAGGTAATTTGTCATAGTAATGAGAGAAGTAACCAATAAAAACGAAGCACTGATTGATGCGACTCTAAGAGTTTTATAAGACAGAAAACAAAACAATCATAATTTTTATATCAATAGTGTTATGCAAGGAAGAAAAATATGTTACAGAATTTTTTGTGGATGTTAAAACATTGTGATGTTTTAATGCAATTAGAAATGACCTTCAGAAGTCTTAGTTCGCTTGCATGCTGTCATACTGGTTACCTGGCAAAATATGACATACTGGTATGAAAGTGTCATAAATGCTCTGCATAAACTGTCCACTTCCTGATTGGGTGGAGGTGTGCTCTGTGGGAAGAAATTCATTCATGCTTGGCACTGTAGATCCAGGCAAAAGCCTGTGGCTAGGAGGTCACAGGCCCTATAGAGGAATCTGTTACTGATGTTTGCTAAGTGGATATATGTAGGTAGACTTCAGGTATTTACATTTATACCCATGGTCCAGTGCAGTCTCTGCTTTAGTCAAAGAAGCCTCTTTTGTCATTGGAGGACAGTCAAAACAGGGACTCATAACTGGTCAAAAAATCCTGCAAGTAAGTTATATTCTCATCCCTAAAGGGATATCACCCCTCAAAGGAGCAGGGAATATCACAGAAGGGGGTGTGGAAAGTCTGTGGGATCTGGAGGATTGGGGATAGTGCTGCGAAGTGATTCTGCTTACTGCATGACCATTAAAATCATGAACAAACAGTAGCTGTGAATGCTTGCCCAAGACCTGCTCAAAAAAGGGGAGGTGGTGTAGGAAGGAAGAAGGAAGGGAAGGAGGGAGGAAGAGATGAAGGGAGAGAGAAAAAGAGAGAGGGAGGGATGAAGAGAGGGAGGGATGAAGGACATAAAAGGTAGGAAAGGGACTAGCTGGGAAGAAGGGAGTGGGCATGAGTTGGAAAGAGAGAGGGGGTAGTTAGTAGAAAGAATATAATCACAGTGCATAGTATACAAGTATGAAACAGTTAAAAAGTTGAAAAATAAAAAGATGAGATGAATTGAAGGAGCTGTTCTTATTATTCTGTTAAAGGGAAATGTTGAGGAAGAAGTCTTAGCTGAAGCCCACTCAGAGGTAAATGGCATCTATTCCAAGAACAGAACTGAGACAGATGGGGACAGCAGAGGACATTTTAAAGATACCAAGGAATGACTGTTGAGAGATTTGCTCACACAGACGTCCGGAGGGTGTCCTGCTGAATGACATGAAGGCACTTGGAAGCAAGCAAATGCCATCATCTGAAATTACTTTAATGTAACATATTTTCCAACCTCCCCTTCTTACTATTATTTTCTTTAAGTTAGTATTTTTATTTTCCTCATTTTATTTAAAGAGTCTCTCTTTATAAGCAAAGAAGGAGCAGGTGGTAACAATTGTGAACATAATATATCTTAAGATAGGTAAGTGGAAAATATAAGTTCCTCTGTACCCCAAGCACCCAGCATTACCCACTGTCAATTTTTTCTTTGTTTGAATATCCATGTGATTTCATGTGAGGCATGTGCATATTCGTTTAAATCAAATGCACTCCAATTATGCAGGCACAAGTAAAAGAAAGATTATATGACACACTTTATACTGTATGCTTCAAAAAATTAAGAGGCATCAAATTAAAATCTTTTTCATTTGAAGATTAAAATTTTAAGTATTTATCGTAAACTGTGGAAGGTAATACAATTATCTGCTATTCCTGACAAATAATATGCTATCAATTTTAGAGAGACTTGAGGTGT